ATCGCAACCCTTATCAACGACGCGCGAGCCGACAAACAATGGTGGCGGACAATGGCGGCGATCGATGCCGAATTTCGTGGCTTCATCGCTTTCTACATACCTCGTCGTTTCCCCGTTTCTCGCATTTCCGCGATCCTCCCGCTAATTAGCGCTCTACCCCTCTCCCCCTCCCCCCTCCATCGATCCGCTTTTTGAGATTTTCGAATTTCGTTGGAACGTTCCGATGGATTCCATCCCGTTTCGCATTTGCATGGAGCGAGCGGGTGCGTGTTTTTTATAATCTCGTAGAAAGGGATTTGGAGTTTTTATCGAGAAAAAAAATTTCGAGCGAAATTAAATTATCCGAAAAAATTGGACGGAATTTGGTTCTCGTATCGTAGTTTAATTCTTTTAATTTTTTTAATTCGAGACATATATCTGTATCTTTCTATGTTTTTGTGATTTTAAAAATGAACGGAGATTTGGTATATTAGACTGGAGTTAAATTATGTAGTTATCTCAAAAGTCGGTTGAAATTTTCGATATTCTCAAATACGATAATTTTTATCAATTCTATTTCATCGTATATATTTATTCTTGTCAAATGTCCAGAATTTCTCTTCTTTGAATCGACTGATGCGATGATTGATAATTTATACGTGCGTTTTAATAAATTAAAAAGATAGAAATAAATAAATAATAAGATATTACGTATTATCATAAATTGATAAAAATTGCAATTAAATTTCGTCGCGCACGAGATCCTAATTTTTTCTCGCGTTATGTAATAATTTCATGGAAAAATGAACAGGAATTTTATATGCATGTATTATATAGAATTTTATCGAAAATCCGTACGAAAATTAATCTATTTCGAAGGATGGAATTCGCCTCGATCATTACACAATCCCCTCCCCTCCCCCCTCCATTTCTTACTCCAACTTTAACGCCGCTGTTAAACCGCATTTTATCTTAATTTCCCTACATTTTTATCTTAATTTCGCGCGAACGAAGAAAGAAATTCGAAAGAGAAAGAAAATTCGGCTCGGTCGGTTACACTTGCTCCACGGGTGAATCCTGTGGATTAATCCCATTTCTGAGGAGAGACAATCCTGACAAAACCTGAAATCCTCGGGATGAAATTCAGAGAGAGGTGATCCATTTATTATGACGTGGAATAGAGCAGTCTGTCAAATAATTCTCCCATTAGACGATTTAATTCGAATCGCGCGAGAAACGTAATCCAGGCATCGAGGAATATTCGCATACTTGCGATATCGATCCTCGAATTGCGTAAAATTGTTTGTTTGTTTGCCCAAAAGAAAAGAAATGCCGCGAGCTTTGATCCATCATTGCAAATAATCTAAATATAGTTGTTGCGATTCCTTCCTTATCGACATTTTCGCATTCTCGAGGCGTTTTTTAATTCTGCGTCTATTACACTACTTCGTGCTGTTCCTCCTCGAGTTTCGCGAATTGGTCATCCTTTGTTTCTTGATAACACGTTTAAATAATGATAAGATAGAATGATAAAATCTTTTAATATAGAAAACAGGATTTTAACTGTTTCTAACCCGTGATTCGGAAATTATATATATAACATAATATAATTAAATAATTTAATTTAAAGAAATATTATAGAATATAAATAAAACTTCTATAATTTTATACACAAGATTTAAAAAATCTATATTTCTTTTTATTTNTTAATAAATTTTTCTATATAATTTATATAATTTATATAAAATATAAGTATATTATATAGAAATTAATATAGAGATAAATTTTATCGGGGAGTACTTTAAAATGAACTTGGAGAGACCTGCTGTATCCTTGTATCCTCTCTTTACAATTTTTTTTATAATTTTCGCGTGATTTTAATGTTAAATTTAGAATGATTTCTTTTTTTTTAAAAAGTGCATTTCCATCGAATTTGATTCGTCGAAACAATTTGAACGAATATTCTCACTTCATCGTCACGCAAATATTATGACCTTCCAAACTTTCTGTGAATTACATTACGTAATGTATAATGTATAAATACAATTTATCTCGCTGTACGTCTAAAAACACGAAATCCAAAAAAAAAAAAGAAAAGAAAAATAGTGCGCGCGACTACCAGCCAAGTCGCGTGACATTGCGCGCGGAAAACCGCTATTGAAGAAGGGGATGGGGGAATCGAGTTTATTCAAAGATAGGCATCGATTCGTCGTTCAGGGGGGGACGATTCGACTCGTTCCAAAATGGAATCTCGTTACAATTTTAACGCGATATCGACCGGCTCGAAACGCAGGGAACAATAGGCGACGCGCACGAGAATCAGCCCGAAGCATTGCCTAGATGCACGCCGGTTCCTCTTGGTAACAATCTTCTCTCCCTCCCCCCTCCTCCCCCTATCATCATCATCATCGTCGCTTTTCCACCCACCCACCCACCTTCGTTCGTTCCATTTTTCCATATCAATCTTTCCTTTCTCTCTCTCTCTCTCTCTCTCTCCTTCCTCCTCGATACCAACAACCTCCTGACCAATCCTTCCCCGCCATTTTCCCATTCACACTCCTCTCTCATATCATTGTCGTATCATTCCTCGTCCACGATGGACCCGGTAAACCGAGCACGATAAAACGATCCACCCTCCTCCTCGTATCCGTTTATCTTATTTCCTACCTGCGCGAGAGAATTGCACAGAGACAGGTAAATCTAGCCGCGATAACGAAAGAACAACCCCCGGGAACGGGGGTTGTTACGCGACGTGCAACAACTTGGCCGGCTACCGGCTGGTTCGGCTGGTTAAAAGAAGAAGAGCCAAGAAGAACTCGGGAGAAAGAGGAGGAGGAGGAGGAGGAGGAGAGAGAGAGAGAAGAAACAAGAAGCGAGTTTGTAAAGCGAGGAAAACTGGGGGAGAGCCCCGTCGAAAGGAAGGGGGAAGGGGGGCGCGTGAGATAAAAACGGTTGTTGAGGGAGGGAGGGAAAAAATATAAAGGAGCCGGGGAGGAAGAAAGAGAGAGAGAAAAAATGAAAGTAGGTGAGAGAGAACGAAGAGAAGAAAGAAAAAGAGGGGGGCGAGAGGAACAACCGATACGGAGGGAAAGGGAGAGAAACGGGTGAAAGAGTCTGGTAGGAATCCATTAACGAGTGCCGTTTTCATACCTCTTCTATATACCGTCCCTCTTTC